CCGGACGAGCAGCAAAGTATTCAGTCTGCCCCTGACGTTAAAAACCAAGTTTAGCGCGAACTCCGGTAAAAACACCATCTCACATATATCAGCAAATCCATCAGTGTGTGAATCACTTCTAATCTTAATACACATGAAAATAAAATAAACCCCCCAAAACACAGCAAGAAGGATGAAGCTAAAGCTGGTTTCCTATTCGCCAGCTTTGTGTACGAAGGTGCTGACGTTAATCTATTAGGAATACACGCATTAAGAAATGCTAACTTACCGAGCTACAAAGTATTAACCATCATTGTAAATAAATAACTACTACATGAAGTTAAGATCCCCTGAATAGACTATTAAATGAAATAAGCTTAATATAAAACCAGAGGGAAAACAATCACATCAACAGGTTCTCTGTGCTTCACCAACCACACGACCATATCGACACACAAACAATACGCATCACACAGACATGAGCGAGGATCACTGCGCTTTCTGAGTGCAATATTCTTGAAATCGTATAATATTGGACAGTATCTTACTTAAACTGCTGCTTTGTAATGGTACTGAATGCAGTCCAGCAGCGATGTTGACCACCCCAAATTGGCGGCAACGTTGACTTGCCTGGTTGGACCCAGCGCGGCATCTAGGTATGTATATCTATGGGTAGGGAAGTCAGCGCACACATTACGTTGCATGCTGGGGACTGTAGTGCAGGGCACTGTGAAACAGGCTAGTATTAACAGAAAATTAAAATACCTTTGCGGGCCGAACAGGATTTTTGACACATGGGAAAGACAGACAGACAGACAGATAGAGAGAGACTGCCTGATTTTAACTGTGTCTGAAACATGAACTGCTTGGTTTATTAAAGAGGGCTGCTGGGGGTCACTGAGGGGGGGCGGCAAACATTCATCTACACAAACTGTGTCCTCACACACACAACACACAGTGAGGCAAAGACAACAGAACGGAAAATTCTGGCCTTTTCTCCTGCAGTCCTGAAACACTGCGGAGAGAAAGAATAAAACTGAACCAAAAGCAATGCTTAAACAGAATGCAGAAATACTTTCCCCACTGGCATCTGGGCCTTAAACTCGGTTTGTCAGCCATTACAAAGCCTCGAGAGCTCCTCTGTAAATTAACTAATGGCGTTCAACAACCTCCTTGACATCCAGTCACAGAAAAGAGCTCGCTCCAATTTTAAAGGAGCTGCAGGCAAGCTTTTTACATTCAAACACCATTTAATAATAATCATCATTACGAGATTTTCTCATCAGCTTCCTGAGAGCCAAGAATGTTTCACTCATCTGCGCTCATTTCACAATACATAACTCAACTTGTTTTTACATCATCTAATTGAGCGTCCTGGTCAGGCTGGCTCCTGATGAATTAAGTCTTTTTTTTTATTATTATTATTGAGACTTTGTGACCAAACAAGAAACAGCTTTCTTGGTGGCGAACTTCCAATTTTTTTCTTAAAGAATAGCTTTAAAATGAGTTATTTTTAAAGGGTCCACATCACAAAAAACTGAATTTTCCTCACTTTTTATAAAAAAAAAAAGTTTGATGTGATATGAAAACATTGCTGACATTTCAAAATGTACCTTTCATTTTCCAGTTCACATACAGAATCTATAGTAGTTTAAAATTCACTGTTTTTGTGATTGTCATTTCACCCCTCGCCCGTACCCCTTAGCCCTCCATTTTGTGAATTCACACCTAAGGGTAGGGTGTCTCGATTTTAGTTGAGACAGAGAAGTAAGGTAAGGTGTTGGGGCTACATGGCCTTCTAACCGGAGGTTTTTCAGAGGAACACTCCAGAGTGTTATGAGAACAAAGTTAAAAACCATTGTATTGTTTTAATGTTGTTTCAATGTATTATGGTCATTTTCTTAACAGCAAGCATAAAGAAAAAATAAATAAATAAAAAAATCACTAACAGTATGCTAATGTCTCGGAAGTTAGCTAGCTAAATTTTTCGGTTCCACCTTAAATAGTCCAGCACTACTGACGCCTGGAGCACCAGAATGTGACTGCTGCTCTATTTAAGGTGGAACAGGAAAATTTGAACGAGAAGCTGGCAAACAGCTGACTACAGCTTCATTTCACCAAAGAATTAGGGGTGGGTGATAATAAATAATTGTTATTCCCCCTCTTTGAAATCATATGATGCCCTAAATGTAACTAAAGCCCAGCAGTGAGGTTGCTGAACTTTACCCTCCTCTGCTGTCACTGCAGACTGGCAGGGTCGCCTACAGAGCAGCGCTAGTAGCTGTTAATGAAGTAATGTCCTTTATTTGAGGGTCCCATTTCGTAGAGGAAGATTCCAACCACTACCTGTTGTAACTCAGTTCCAAGAGGCAAGGCGACACTCAAAAACTAGGGGTAGGGGTAAAAATAAGAAATGGGACTGGGCCTAAGTGCATCTCCAAAATGCTGATGCTAATAAGAGGCCAAAAAAGGCGATCTGGGGAAAGTAAAAGCAAGAGAAACTATGAGGAAGGGACAGTGGTTTTAAGTTGTTCTAACAGCTTTCTAAATAACATCCTCAAACTGAGAATCCCTCCCTAAAAATGATCATGTTTTCTTAAGATAAGGCAAGGCAACCATGGGTCTGTTTGTGAGGAAAAGTTATCCCTGATGGCATGCCTCTCATTTCTATCATTCCTTTCAAGACAAAACCAGTTTTGGCCGATCGCACTGCTATGACACTTCTTTCAGCCTAAGTTTTCAAAGGCAGAAGTAATTTGAAGGTCACAACATGAGGCACATCATGTAAATCCATTTTAGCCCCTTCATGAGGACCCCCTTGTGGCTGACACACCAGAACCTACAACTAATTAAGTTATAACATTTAAAGAAATAGTTCAACAAAATAAAAAATAAACACAATTATCTATCTCAGATTGAATCAATCAGTGGAGACAAGTTTGGTGTCCAAATTGTGCTTCTTTAGTTCAGTGCTGGAGCCACACGGCTAACGTTTCTAACAAACACCAGAAGTCGACAGTCACTCAAGTCTGTTTTCTGTAAATAAGTCCCTCAAACTTTTCTCAGCCCACTCAAACCACATCCAGCTCTTCATTAGGGTTGTGCTGACTTGTCAATTTGGTTTAAGATAGTATGACTTACTGTGAGCTGCAAAAATCCTGTTCGAACATGTGTTGTCTAAAATGCGTGCCCATGGCATTGAGCTAAACAGCGAGGTTTTATTCATTTTTATAGTTCACAATAAATTATACTGCATCCTAAACCACATCGTCAAGTCTGAGCAACCTTAATGAAGAGCTAGATGTGATTTAAGTAGGCTGAGACACGTTTTGGGGACATATCTACAGGAAAAAAAGCTTTCGATAACTACTGACTTCTAGTGTTTGTTAGTAATGTAGTTCCAGTGCTAGTTTGGGCATTGAATATCTCTGCTAACTGACTATCTATGGCACATGGAAAACTACTAATTATATTTCTCAAACATATTGCTTTAAAATGTTTTCTAAAATGAAAAAAACTTCATCTAAATATCCATGTTCTATGTGGTAAACCACACGTGGTTACAAAATATAAACTTCCTAGGTGGTCCTATGTTACATGCATGTATTGGATGTTGTCGGTTTCAGCTACAAAATGCGCTTGGGAGTATTTAACACCATATTCAGACGTTAAACGCCATCTTTTAGAGCATGCCATCAAATTTATGCCTGTGTATTAGTTTATTTTCTCTCAGGCAAAGTTGAAAATGCACAAAAACCATTCCATGTGACATGTCTGGCTCAGCTGTCAAACAACAGAAAGTCCCTGGCATTCCTTGTCCTCTGCTTATGCTAGTAATGAGAATGGCAAACAGCTGGACAAGAACAGCACTGTGGTGAGCGAGAGTGCGTCCAGCTGACTGCAGCTTAGTCTTCAAGATATTTGTGATGAGTTATTCGGATTTATGGTGTTAAACGGAGAAACTAACAGATCGTGTCATTGAGAAAGCTGCTTTCTAAAGTAATAAACTATCGTTATCCAAGCTTAAAGTAATAGTTTGGTGAAAAATCTAATTTACAGCATACCTTTGCCACGAAGGCACTCAATCAGCCAAGAGTTCTGCACTGAAGCCACATGTTTAATGTAGCTACGCAATTAAAGTTTATACCCCACCAACCGGCATGCATCCATCATGACACACACGCCTTAAACAATGTTAAAGGTACACACTGGCCAAAATTAAACATTTAACCATCATTAAATCTGCTGTAAAAATGCCAACTCACATCCTACAGCTGCATCATAACAGTCTCTAGAGTGAGATTTTCTGGTGTAAAGACCAGGAAACCCCCTCCTGATGATGTGTCTAGAAGGTGGGAGGAACTTTTGGAAAAACTGAAACTGTTTTTATGGCAGCATTACTGTCTGAAATACGAACATGTTTCTAAACTGTGGCTGGTATAGTGTAGTGGGTAACACCTCTGCCTACTATGTTGTAGACTGGGATTCAATCCCCGCCAGGACAAGCACCCTATACTATACCAATAAGAGTCCTTGGGCAAGACTCCTAAAACTACCTTTGCCTACCTGTGTAAAATGATCAAACAGCAAGTTGCTCTGGATAAGAATGTCTGCCAAATGCTGTAAATGTAAAATCATCATTACAACGAAAAGAAAGGATCACTCAAACAATAGAAATCTGTCAACTTGTCAAATATGGAGGACAAGCTAAATGTTAGTAAGGCTGAATATCTAGATATGTTACTTCTGTTTGGCTTATTTTTTCAGACTGGAAGGGTAAAAACATGTCTGTTTTCCATTGTGTGCTAAATAAAGGCAGAATCACAGTTTCTTTTCACTAAAGCTAGCTTGGTTCCATTTATTGTGTATATTTGATTTCTGGCCGAACTGTTGATTTAAAGTTAACAAACGTGATTACATTCAATAAATGTTATTTTTCTCCTCTTTCATAGCTGTTGAAATGTGTGTTACTAGGCGTCCCTGGTGTTCATGTAGAGTAAAGGAACGTAAGAGCTGTTTACCTGAGGCCACAGCGTTGCTGCTCGCCTGACTCCCACTGCTGCTGCTCACTCCCACGTACAGTTCATCCTCTCCCTCAGTGGAGGAAGACGAGGAGGAGTCAGAGGTCAGCTCCTCACTGGAGCTGCTGGTGCTGTGCAGTAGCGCATACTTCCTCCGCGCAATCACCTCCCTCTTCTTCCTCTGCAAGAGCAGACGCTCCTTCTGCTTTGGAGTCCGCTGGGCTCCGCCTCCAGCCCCACCCTTCCCAAAGCGCTTCCTGTTGAGCGGCCGCCGCGAGCTCAAGCACGGCCGCTTGACATGATTGGCTTCCGGGTCGAGCCGTGCCCATTTATGGGACCTGCTGGACCGGGTTCGGCTCAGTAGGGGTCGTATACCCACCGCTGCCCCAGTTCCTCCACCAGCACTTCCTGTTGAAGCTGGACCAGACGCCTTAAGTTGCTGCTGCTGTCGGGCAGCTGTGGGGCCGTCGGCAGGCCCCCTGTCCTCTTCTGAGCTAAGAGTGTCCGAATCACCAAAACGTAAGCTAGAGGAGGGTGAAGAAGCACAGTCACTAAAAGAAGACTCAGGGTTCCGCTCATCCTCGCTACGCGTCTCCAACAGCGCCGCTCTGTGGCGGGGAGGAGGCAGCGTCGTCTCGCTAACATGCCCTTCCTTTAGAGAACAGTCTGAGGGCCCAGCCTGCTGGCTCTTACGCTTTTTACGCCCCGAAAGGCCTTTGTCTGAGTCTCTGCGACCCCCAGCGTCTCGCAGGGATCTGTGTCTAGTCTCAGCACACAGCGGCGTGAACTCGCTGCCCGCCTTGCCGATCACCTCCATTTCTGCCGGGAAGCTTTTGGCCGTCTCCATAGGCTCAGGGTTACCCAGGGGCCCCTTCAGGGGCTCCTGTTTGCGGCGTGTGTCAGGTGGGACCTCACTCTTCATCGTGACTGACCCACGTGGAAGGGGAACTGAAGACCAATGCAGCAGCTCCTATGTGTCCATTAGCAGCCTGAAAATTCCACAACTGCAGGGAAGAAAAAGAGAGACAGTTAGAATCACTGGTCAAGTACAGCCACACATACTAAGAACTTATTCATTTATCTTGGTGGACTGGTGCATTAATTATCTGACAATACAGTACACAAATATTAAACAAACAATACAAACCTATACAAAGATAAAACCACAAAGAGAAACACAAACAACACATTATGCACCAGAGGAAAAAACAAACTATATGTTATCCACTTTCATTTTACGCAAGATTCACAAATAAAAGTAAGATGTGATTGTGTGTGTGTGTGTGTGTGTGTGTGTGTGTGTGTGTGTGTGTGTAAACGATTAATATGTTTTTAAATACTCAAAAATAAAGTTACCAAAAACTTGCCTTAAGTTTCACAAATGTCTTAACACGTTTGTTTTAGGTGAGAGGAATGTGAAAATACTTATCATTATTGTCATGAATTACATCACAATAATCTCTCCTGAGCATATCAGTGATTCACTGACCAACTGCATCAGATGTAATGCAGTGCAGTATGTGAAAAGTTAAACAAAAATCATTTTTGATAGTATTTTTTTAAAGTGTAGCACTACCATTTTTTTGCCATTTCGTTTTCATTGTCAGTTCATAGAACATATCAACATGATGAGACTTACAACATTATGAGGGAAAAAAATCTAACACACTAGCTACAATCTAATATGTTAGCCCTGAGCTAACACTGTAGCCACCTGCTAACACGCAAGGCCCAAAACAGGAATGCAAAGAGATACAGTATGATACGTGACATCATGTTGGTCTATGCAAACATACATACAAAACACGCCCCGAAACACACATTGAGGCCAGACCAAAAATAAAATTCGCAGAATTTATCACCATCTTTTACAGTAAATAGGGCAATGAATGGTGCACTGAAGCAGGATTCCACCAAGTTAGCCATGCAAAAGCTTAGGCTGACTCAGTTAACGTTTATTTTCTCATGCGTTCCTGGCACAGTATGAGTCAGTCTGGATTGTAATCCAGGCCTCAATGTTACTCAGGCAGTAATGAAAGAAAAGGGAATGGTGAATAAGGTAAGGTCATTCCCGGCTCTTATACGGAGAGAAAACAAACAGGCCCACACCTAATGCCTAATGCCTCCTGCACATTACTAATGTAATAAACCCAGCAAACACAGGATAATGGAGCTGGGGACATTACAAGCCACATTTTCTACCAGTTTTCTTTTATTCATATGATAACAGCACACAGGAACAGAGGAACTTCTGTATTTCACACAATGAGGGGTGTAATAGCTGTTTTGAAAGGAAAACTGTGCCACATCAGTGTACGAAGCATATGAGCTTTTCAGTCCTTCCCCTTACATAAACCTTATACGTCCAGTCTGAAAGAGAGTAGACCAATTAACCTATTCCAGGATTAAAGGCTTAAAAAAAGGCTGCTGGCATTAGGATATTAAGCCATCAGTGACCAAAATGTTCGTCATTAATATCATGATTACAAAACGACTTCCACAAAGCCTCTTCCTGTTCCTCTCATGACAATCTCACATTTCACCCCTTCGCCATCAACACGGCCTACACTGACTTTTCTCTCTTTAATCATAATCTCATCATAATAACTCCCATCCCTCCTCCATTCAGCAGCATCCATCCAAGACCCCACACTGTTATTCTTTTCATGCAGTGCTGGTCAGTCCTGATAAAACTCAGCATCACAAATATCCAGAATGTATTTATTTTGCGATTAGGTTGCTAATACGAGGGGTGCATGCAGGGTGTTGTAAGCCAAAAAAGTCTCCTTATTTTTTGGCTGTATCACTATGTTTTCCCCCATTACCAACATTACACATAAAAATTCATGCGACACGTGTAGATTCACTGATTATTTTGGATGGTAAACAAAATGGCTATATTTGCATTGTTGACTTTGTGACCCCTGGTTCCCATTACCACCTATGTACACAGAGTCAGTAGGCTTTCCTGCAAATAGCCTTTTAATAGCAAACCACTCTGAATGACAGAGTTTGACTGACTGAATTATGGTCAGAGTTTTAAAAATAGGATGATTATGGAATTAATACAAGGTAATGAACTCATTCTTAAAACTACTTGCAATTCTTACCAAGCCTTAAAACTACAAATTACAGAAACAGGTACAGAAACCACATTTCCAGTATGAAAACACACTATTTTATCTTTACGCATTTTTAGAACTGTTCAAAACAAAAAACAAAAGTAGCAGAAGTTCCAAGTAAATGACATACACTGAAGATCACTGTAAGGTCCTGGATAACACGAATAAACTGCCAAAAAATGGAACTGACAAAAGTATTTCGTGGAAAAGGATGTTTACCGGATATGATCTCTATCAATACCACCATAACTGAAAGTCAGGGTAACGATGTGGCAGCAATTCCTGATCCACGATATGCTTCTTATTACATTTTTCATTTGGAATGGACAAAGTTCAACTGCAAAAACAGCAGTGCCACATTTTACAAAATATCTGCAAATGTCTGAATTCAACATTGGCAAAAATATATACATATGTCAGCAGATATGCATTACAAACAGCAAGATAAAGACGGATATAATCATATAAACACAGTTGCTCTAAATCGGTCTTTTTTATGATCCATGCACTTCTTCAGTTCGGACAATAACAACATGCAAAATACATGTAATTTTTCACTATAGTGACATACTGCCCACCTCAAGCCCCACAGTCACTTTTCTCTCTAATCAGAACCCCACCATAATAAATCTCATCTCTCTTCCATTCAGAAGCACCATTCTGACACCATCATCTCCTCTGAAGTGAAAAGTCTGGACTAAATGGGGTCTGGACCAAAAATCTCAAAATCTCACGCCTCAGTGCAGCCACAGCAAGGCACAGTGTTTCTATGTCTTTAAATTATGAAAGCAGCCATCTGTTTAAAGAGGCATATCATTCCTGCTCATTAGCTCCTTTCTTGGTTTAGTGGTAGGAAATTATGCCTGAACACAGCTGCATTCTTAGCAAAAAATAGGTGGGCAATACAACAGTAAGTTTGTTATCATGATAAATTAGGCCCATTATACTTTTCTGAGTATTTTATGGGTGATGCCAATGCTGCTAAAACACTGGACAGTCACCCAGTCTAATGCCATTGTTGGTATAGTGTAGTGGGTAACTCTGCCTTCTACGCTGTAGACCGAGGCTCAATCCCCTGCCTGGGTAAATAGCCTACACTCTACCAATAAGAGTCCTCGGGCAAGACTCCTAACACTACCTTTGCCTACCTGTGTAAAATGATCAAACTGTAAGTCGCTCTGGATAAGAGCGTCTGCCAAATGCCGTAAATGTAAATGCCAAACATCAGCTAGAGGGGTATAAAGCCCCCCAGCACTGGGCTGTGGGGCAGTGGAACCGTGTTCTCTGGAGTGACAGAGCTCCATCCTGTACCTTTGGGAGTTGGAGTGATCCAGAACTACTCATCCTACATCAATACCTGATCTCACTAATGCTCCTGCAGCTGAATGCAAACAAATTTTCACAGCAATGTTCCAACATCCAATGTAAAGCCTTCCCAGAAGAGTTGAGGCTGTTGCTGCCACAAAGTTGGACAAACTCCCTTTTAATTCATTTGACTTTGGAAGAAACACTGGATGCGCAGGTGGCTACAAACTTTTTGGACATGTTTTCAAGTATTGTGATGCAATGTTTTTGCCATGTCATCCTCCCCTAGCAAATATTTTCACATATGAAAAAAAATTCTAAAGGTTATAACTTTGACCATTTAGATGATTATATACAACTGCATTCGCATAATGAAAATAGCTAATCAGCTCCACAAATGAAAACAGCTCCACAGCTGTTTTTAATAATGTGTCCCATTCAAGTTTTAGTAAAATGAAAAACAAGTCTGATACTTTGAGTAGATTTCAAAACAATTACTACTAAAATTCATCTCTCAACTAAAGCAAAAATCTCTGCAACTCCAGTTTCCCAGATCAGGATTAATCCTAAACCTAAAAAAAATCCTAAAAATTAACAAAAGACTGTCAGTGGTGAATCTGCCTTCAGCAGTTTAGCTCCACCTACTCACACTGATATTATCAGGAATGTTTCAGTCCTGTCTACTTTTTGAAGAGGCGCAATACAGAGCAGCCAATCAAAACAGAAGACATTTACATATACCGATCTTAAAGGCACAGTAACAGAAACAGCCTGTTCAATGCTAAGGGATAAAAAAAGAGGTTGGAAAATGGTCATTTAGGTATGAATTATGGCTGTTTTTGCCACATACAACCACATCGATGTTATATGTGGACCATAAAGGTACAACAATATACATAAAATACAAGAAAAGTGTAGGATATGGGCTCTTTAATCTCTAAAACATACACGTACAGTAAATGCGGCCAAAATGTTTAGCTGCAGCGTTTTACTTCCACATACACTGATCCAATTTCCATGTTATTTCTATTTCTGCAAATTCACACACACAGCTCGGCACACCCTAAATACCAGCCAGTCCAAAACCAAATTACAAAAAGGTCAGCAAAATATTTCAAATGTACAAAATATAGACCTACACAGCCAACAGCTTATGTAAACTGCTCAAAGTGTCAAGGCTTGAATGTCATTAGAGCTCAAATCCAATGCCCTCAGCTAAGAGATCATAATAAGCTTCTGATCCTCCAGTGTTTGAAGCAGCAGAGCCCCATAAGTAGGCCTTCGCCTGCAAGAGATCAGGGCAGTAAAAAAAAAAATTCTGCATTTCACACAGATCGTACAAATTTCCTTAACTGATAATGAGCATGTGACTTTCATATAAGAATTCTGCAGCATATTTAACTTAGGGCATATCGTCACTGGCATATTAGAACTTATTTTCCTCAATTCTTCTAACTGTCCTTTACATTGTGTAAACATTTCAGGGCAAGGAGACCAACAGAAATGGTCTAAAATTACTTAGAATAAAATCTATTACATTATGAGTTAAGAACGGATTTTCCTTTTAAGCTACCTTTTCTCAGATCAGAGACTGGGTGACCTATAGCTGGGCGATACCGATCAAATTCAATATCATGACATTGACCAATCATATCATGGTATAAGATGATGTTTAAACTGGCATTAATACAATCCATATGCTAAAACAACGTCTTGCAGACCTGACTGAGCTTGTTTTAATTGGGCTGTTTTAAGCCGCAGTGACGCCAGAATGTTGCCTTGATATTTACTTTACAGAGTGGAGCAAAAATCCATATGGGTGCTTCTGACCAGTTATTTTTGGGGGAATGCATGTTGACTAAGTAGCAGGTCCTCCAATAGATTAATAATATTATTGCCACCACTCAACCTCTTGCTTTCTATTGGCTCCTGCCTACGACGTTCACAAATTTGAGGAGTTAAAAGATGGTCTATATGAACTCCAAAGTAAGCTTATTCCTTTGTTTATTTTCCACTTCCATCGAATTGGCTTTTTTGCTAGGCAAATTTTACTCGTGCTTGGTGTTTCTGGATTATTTAGCTTTGAGATGTAAACAAAGCAAAAACAGCCATTTTATTTACTATTCAAAACCACCAGTGAACCCACACGTGTCTCCTGAGATTTTACTGAGTGGTATTGCGTCTTAACATACGTGTTCTTTGGGGATTACTTAGCCTTACAACACACTACATGTACCTCTCTGTCATAAATGGAATAGAGACATCAAAGCCTTGAGATGTCTGGGTTCACCGCCACTGTGAACAATGTTTGCTCTGTAAGTTCCTCTAGAATGGAGCACCTCATATCAGACCACTCCGAATGACTTGATTTACATCTTAATGTAGAGATGCAGAAAAATCTGTGGTATTTACCTTTAAAATGACACCGAATGGAACCTCACACAATACTGTAAATATGAGACAGATCGCACACCTTTAGAAAGTAAATCTATTTAACGTTTAAGGATTTTAAAGCGTTCTTTCAAAGCATGCATTCAATGACACTGTAGTTAACTGGAGTTATCCGCTTGGCAACTGGGACACTGCGATAGATTATCAGCACTGCATCCATTTTATTATCCTCATAATCTATCATATATATATATATATTACTATAAATATCTCTGAAAAGCAATCTCACGGTATATGAGTACAGACTATCACAGCCTGGACAACAACATCATCTGCTAATACAGTAGTGTGGTAGTATAAAATGTTATAATAATAGATGCCACTAGTGACACTTGTGAGACAGTGGAGGGCTCCTCTGGGGTTCCACCCTGCGAGCTAGCAATGTGCCACTGAGCCGCGAAGCAAAGTGCACGTTGCCCCCCGAGGGGGCCCACAGCAGCAACGCCCCCTGGCACCAAGGTGGATACAGATTTCAGAACGTAGAGGATTGCGAGAGACTGTTTTAATTCCTTCCCCAAGGATCACTGACTAGATCCTATAGATGCCAAGTTACCTTGCTATTAGCACAACACGGACTGTGGGAGCATCCTTCCGCATGCCAATTACACTGAAAACTATGGCTGAAATTGTCCAGACAAAACCTTGTACGTTAGTTTTTTTAACATAATTTACAAATGTCAGCAGCCCTTTACTGTATGTGAAACGTATTGATACGTGGATCAACAGAAACAGTCTGTAATTACATGGAATAAATGTCACATCCTTTCTGGAGACATGACATTTGGTTCAGACAGCAGCAAAATATTCCTAATATGAAAAAAACAAACAGTGGTTGTTGATTTAAAACAAGTCACACAGCACTTTGCAGACAGGCAGATGGACTGCTTTCCATCCTCTGCAGCGAAAAATGCATATAAATGAGCTTTACATTTAAACAACCCTGCTTACTGTACTGTTTTAGGGATTATACGTAATGAATCTCAGAGTCACGGTATTTCCACTATTACTATACTTATAAAAGATCAAAATGCTAAAAAAAGGACCCACAGTCCTGGTCTCTTCAGTAGTATCAGCGTGTTCCCTGAGCTGAATCACAGGAACAACACAAACACATTCCTCACATACAAACAAACAGGACGATAAGGCCATAAAATGTCACGTAGGTGAAATACAACACGCAAAAGGCCACAATTTGCACTGCTTTGGGGTTTGATCACACGGCCAGATCCCTCTAAAACGTGCATTTTACACCGTGGGTAATCGGATAGGTCTGGCGTGACGTTCATAACATTAGAGGAGCTAGTTATGCATCGATATCAACAGAGGCAGGCCACAGAGAGTGATGCCAGTATGTGCTATGATGTTGACGGAGCTCCACATTACTGAGACTTTACATTGGACATTATTATTTGGCCTTATTTAACCCTATAAAACGAAAGCGAGCCAATTCTTTACGCCTACAATGAAATAAACGTAGTTCGAACTGCTTTTAATGGACGTCAGTTGGCCTGTTTAAAAAAGCCAGAAGAGAAAACAGACGTAGTTCTTGATAAAATATTAAATTCAGAGGCAGCTACAAAATATAAGAATGGCTTATACACATCTGAACGGCTAGAAAGCCGGACTAAGCCTCATTATCAGCATTATTACTTATAAAAACAACAACGTTTCCAAGCTAACGTTAACTCGCTAACGCTAGAGCTGTTTTCACTCAAGGAATTTCTCAAGAAAGCGGACGACAACTGCTAAAACTACTCATGTACAACATACACATTTACCTATATGGCTGTAATATGCGAACTGCCAACTTGTAGTGATACGTATTAAGGTAAAAAGACTAAAAATACTGAGTGATAGCTGTGAACATTAGCTTGAAGCCGAACAATAGCAACGCAATTACAGCCGAAGCTGAAGTTGGCTTCCTATTCGCCAGCTTCTTGTTCGAATTTTTCCGTTCCACCTTAAATGGCGCAGCAGCTGCATTCTGGCGCCTGACGTGCCAGAATGTAGCTGATGCACCGTTTAAGGTGGAACGGGCCAATTCGAACAAGAAGCTGGCGAATAGCGCAATCACAGCCGGACTGGCCGAAGCACTTTTACCTCTTGACGGCTTTACCAACGCTGGCCGATCCGCCGGCTCTTTTCCAGGGCATACGGTCCCACACAGTCCGTCGAAGATGAGACACAGGCGGATAAAAATTAAATACAAAAAAAGTTAAAAAGCGAGCGAACGTCAAAGTGGAGGCGGGGAGAAAAAACCAAACGGGGCCTGGAGCTAAAGCTAAAGCTAATGCTAAAGCTAGTTAGCTCGCCGGCTAATGTCGACGATTCGCGGATTGTTGACCATCAGTGAGAAACAGAAACGGCGTTTTTTCTTCCTTACTGTTAAAAGGTGTCGATGGAGATATGATTAGACCGAGAAACCGAGCGGAGAGCGGCGTTTTTAACTGTAGGCGAGTTGATGCGGCGTTAATTCCTCTCCGCTGGCCATCGGACCCGACATCAGCTCTCCGCGCGAGGCGCCATCTCACTAACTCACTCACTCTCACACACATTCTCTCTCTCTCTCTCTCTCTCTCTCTCTCTCTCTCTCTCTCTCTCACTCACACACACACACACACACACACACACTCACACACACTAAGCTTGTCTACATTTTTTGACACACATTCGCAACATTTACTACACAAATAATCCGAATGCAACTCATACATTGCAAGATATACACATCTATAGCGTTACATAAGAACACAACTAGATAGATAGATAGATAGATAGACAGACAAGTAAAAGTAAGTAGTGAGGTAAAGATAGATGAGGGAAAGTGAGGGAAAACAAGCAATCAGACACCTTAATTTTATTATTTATGTACTTCCTGTGCATATATCCACTTCGCATTTACACACGTAATGTGTCCTTTACAAAGTGTGTATAGGTTACATAGGATAGATAGATAGATAGATAGATAGATAGATAGATAGATAGGGAGGGAGGGACAGAGAGATATATACATAAGTAGATATAGATAGATGGATGGATAGATGGATAGATAGATAGATAGATAGATAGATAGATAGATAGATAGACAGACAGACAGACAGATAGATAGATAGATAGATAGATAGATAGATAGATAGATAGATAGAGAGGGAGGGGCAGAGAGATATATGCATAAGTAGATAGAGATAGATAGATAAATAGACACAAGTAGATAGATAGAAAGAGATATAGATAGATGGATGGATGGATAGATAGGTAGATAGATAGATAGATAGATAGATAGATAGATAGGGAGGGAGGGACAGAGAGATATATACATAAGTAGATATAGATAGATGGATGGATAGATGGATAGATAGATAGATAGATAGATAGATAGATAGACAGACAGACAGATAGATAGATAGATAGATAGATAGATAGATAGATAGATAGATAGATAGATAGATAGAGAGGGAGGGGCAGAGAGATATATGCATAAGTAGATAGAGATAGATAGATAAATAGACACAAGTAGATAGATAGAAAGAGATATAGATAGATGGATGGATGGATAGATAGGTAGATAGATAGATAGATAGATAGATAGATAGATAGATAGATAGATAGATAGAGAGGGAGGGGCAGAGAGATATATACATAAGTAGATATAGATAGATAGATAAATAGACACAAGTAGCTAGATAGAAAGAGAGAGAGATACATAGATAGATAGAGAGACACACATAGGTAGATAGATAGATAGATAGATAGATAGATAGATAGATAGACACAACTAGATAGACAGATACAACCCTATTTCCAAAAACGTTGGGACGCTGTGCAAAATCTGAATAAAAACATAATGCAATGTGTGCAAATCATTTAAACCCTATACCTCATTGAAAATAGTACAAAGACAACATATCAAATGTTGAAACTGAGAAATTTCATTAGTTTTTGAAAAATATTTGCCCATTTTAAATTTGATGCCAACAACACGTTCCAAAAAAGTTGGGATGGGGGCAACAAAAGGCTGGTAAAGTTGTGTAATGATTAAAAAAAAAACACCTGGTAGCTGATTGGCAACAGGTCAATAACATGATTGGGTATAAAAGAGCATCTCAGAGAGGCGGAGTCTTTCAGAAGGAAAGATGAGGAGGGGTTCAGCACTGTGTGAAAGACTGCATGAACAAATAGTGCAACAATTCAAGAATAACGTTTCTCAAAGTAAAATAGCAAAGAATGTTTGCTTTTCATCATCTATGGTACAAAATATCATTAAAAGATCCAGAGAATCTGAAAACCAGTATTTGCTGGCTATGATCTTCGGGCCCTCAGGCAGCACTGCATTAAAAACAGACAGGATTCTGTAGAGGAAATCACTGCATGGGCTCATGAACACTTCTGAAAATAACTGTCTATGAAAACGGTTCAGCACTGCATCCACAAATGCAAGTTAAAATTCAAAAACGCAAAGAAGAAACCATATAAACAGGATCCAGAAACACTGCTGCCATCTCTGGGCCTGAGCTCATTTAAAATGGAATGAGGGGAAGGGGAAAAGTTTCCTGTGGTCCAATGAATCAACATTTGAAACATTTTTTGGGCGTCTTTTTCAAGGAAGACCTTGATTATTTCAGCAAGACCATACCAAACCTGCTCTGTATTAAAAGACTCTGGGTGCTAAACTGGCCTGCATGCAGTCCAGACCTGTCACCACTGATAACATTCAGCGCAAATGAAAAATACGACAAATGAGCCCCCGAACTGTTGAGCAGCTGAAATCCTATATCAAACAAGAAAATATTTCACTTTCAAAACTACAGCAGTGTCACGCTTACAGAGTGTTGTTAAAAGAAGAGGTGATGAAACACAGTAGTAAACAAGCCCCCATCCCAACTTTTTTGGAATGTGATGTTGGCATTAAATTCAAAATGAGCATATATTTTTCAAAAAACAATCAAATTTCTCAGTTTCAACATTTGATTTGTTGTCTTTGCAGTATTTTCCTTTAAAAATATTAAAAATATAGTTTACATGATTTGCACATCATTGCATTCTGTTTTTTATTTACATTCTGCACAGCGTCCCAACTTTTTTGGAAATGAGGTTGTAGGTAGATAGTAGGTAGGTAGATAGTAGGTACAGTAACAGTAGGTAGTAGGTAGGTAAGTAGATCTACAGGTAGGTTGAAACAAAACTCAATTTCAAAAAAGTTGAGATAGTATGTGAGATGATAATAAAAACAGAAAGCAATTACATGAATTACCCCATAAACGTAGTAGTTCTTTGTATATATACAGTAATTTTAAACTGATGCCTGCAACATATTTCACAAAAGTTAGGACAGGCACAATGTAACACTAGAAACATACTGAATTGTTCAAAAAACATCTTAAACAGGCAATGCAATCATGCTTGAGCATAAAACAAGTGTCCAGGAAAGGCCTTGTACTTTATGATCAAAGACAGATCAAGACTCGCAACTTTGCCAAAAAATGCATCAGTGAATAATCCAGCAGTTTAAAAACAACAAGCAAATGCAAGGATTTTACCCCCTACGGTGCAAAATATCATCAACAGATCCAAGGCCGAAAACCATAACTGAATGCCTGTGACCTTCGATCCCTCAGACAGCACTGCATCATTGCTGCATCCACAAATGCAAGTTAAGATGGTACTATGCACAGTGGACGAAATATAGATAGATCAGTTTATTAATCCCAGAGGGAAATTCCAATATATATCAATAATGTCTAGAAATTGGCCTCAAGCTCATCTGAAATGTAGTTGTGTGGTTTGACAAGTCAACCTTTTAGATTGTTGATGGAAGTAGTGGACCAGGCCAAAGAAGAAAAGGACCATCCAGATTGTTACCAGCATAAAGTTCAACAGCCAGTGTCTGTCATGGTATGGGGGGTATTAGTGCCCACAGCATGGGTAAATTGCACATCTGTGAAAGCACCATCAACAGATATGACAGATATGTACACATTTTGGAGCAACGTGCTTCCTTCTAGACATGCTTATTTCAGCATGACGACGACAAGAAATGTTCTGCCTGTGTTACAACAACATGGCTGCATAATCAGAGAGTGCAGGTTCTAGACTGGCTCACCTGCAGTCCAGTGCTCTCTCTCACTGAAGATGGGTGGTGCATTATGAAGCATAAAATACAACAGTGAAGGCCCAATACGTTGCACAGCCAAAGATTTGAATGATAAATTATTGGAAAAAAATTCTGGATAGATATTATATACAAACAATATATAAAACTGTGTTTCATAGTGCCCTGACTTAACACGCTAGCCACTATACTATGAGGTAACATTACACAATACAATACATTACAAACCTAGAGGGTGGGTCGATATGGTGACAGTGGTGATGCAGGTTGGTAGTGTAATATAACTAAATGCAGCGTTCATAAAGGGCTCATATTGAAAACCAATTTTTTATTGATATGAAAATCTGATGTCTGATGTAGTCTGATGTACTTTGTAGACACTGTTAAAGTTTCAAAACCTACCATTCACTCCCCAGTCCATACACTCCATATATGGAAACCAAACTGCAAAAACAGCCAGTTATAGGCTGCTTCAAAAATGTGCCTATTTAGCCTACAGCAATTTTGCCTCACCCATTCAACCTGAAGTTATAAAGAGTGTTTTAACCCAGACTGTTTGATGGAAGTGCAATATATGGCAGCCAATCAGAACAGAGCTCATTTACGTGTATCATTCTTAAAGGCACAGTAACAAAAAACAGCCTGTTTAATTCTAAAGGATAAAGAGAGGTTGGATAATATTCATGTGAAATGAGATATACTGCTTTTGGTACATAAAAGCACAAAAATGATATAAGTGGACCTTAAGGATAAATAACACACAAGGAAAATATAGGATATGGGCCCTTTAATCTAAACAACACATACACACATATCCAATGCCTATATATATATATATATACATATATATATATATATATATATATATATATGTTCTTTACATTAAAGGGCCAATATCTTTTTTATCTAAATCTTCAGTTATAACCAACAAACAAACAAATAGGACAGGTGTTATTTTGTGTGCCTTATTTTGTGCAAATTATATAACATTGTGGCCTAACTATAAATAAAATACGATGCATTTACTGTTAGTGTTGTAACCTACTTGTGCACCTCAGTGCTTTTGTGCCCTCTAGTGGGATGAGAGACTATCAAGACTTATTCAGAGATGGATCCGGCGGATTTGTCCTTAATGTTTATTTATGTTTACACACACTTACACAAAATCAAACATTTTACAACATTTTCATGTCACATCCATACAATCAAAGGGCCACTGAGAATGATTTAGCCTTCATGGGATAAGGGAGAATTTTTCCCAGTGCTGTGTTTGTGATTCAGTTATGAATCATTTAAAATACAGAGCATGTTGTTATTAATTGAAAGAAGGGAAATAAGCAAAGAAAAGAAAAAATGAGTTGAGCTTTGCAGCTCTCTAGTTCTCTAGTTCCTTCTTACACATTTTGTCTATTGCACACAAATCAGCAGTGAAGTCT